TAACGTGTTAGAATAAATTTCGCATACGTATAAATTTATCTGTATCACCTTCGTTATGCATAACTTATTTGTGAGACAGGGCACAATCTCAAAGTGCCATTTTCGACCAGGGCGCTCCGGCTGAAATTAGTACCTAACCAAGCATTAGCCCAATAAATTTACTTCAGTAGTTAAAATTCCGATTTAATTAATTAATATATCTTTATATGTAAAAACCTCTGATGAAAGCATTCAGCAATAACATACATGATCATGATTTGTATATGTCCGTAAGTGCTATTTCTTCCAGAACAATTTGAGTCGATACTGTATCACATTACACAAATGACATTAATATAGAAATATGTAAAATTTATCGAAATTTCCAAATGCAGGGTCGACTTTGAGATATATATACTAGTTATGTTGGATACGTATTGTTATGGCGGAACAATGATATTATTACTGTATTCAAAATCACATATATGATCTGATTAAAAAATGCATGCATGACCTGTTGTATGACAATCTGATTGTCTGTATAAACTATAAAAAGGTAAATGTACGACTATTTCCTGCCTAATAAATTTTTTCGCCTTCTCAGTTGTACTACTACACTACTTTTGTTTGATAAATAATCATGTTTGAAAATATTTCTTTTCCGTCAGTCGATGAGGTTCAGAAGAATTGGAAGCGACCCGACGTTATTAAGTTTTTAGAGGAAAATAAAGTGGAGTTAGACCTTGATGATACTCACTGGTAGCTGTGATCCAACTGTCTAAGCTGGAGCTTCTTTTGCAAAATATTATACCCAAAAGACATATGGGGAAGTACTCAAATAGTGTAACTGGCCTTCTTTTATCTTATGCTTAGCTGGGCCATGGGTGTGTATTTTAGGGGCAGTATATGTTGAGAAACCTATTGTAGATCCCTTGACGGACTTTATACCTCTCATTCCTACAAACAATCGAGTCCATGCAGAGCAAGTGGCACGACTTTTCAAAGCTTTATATTTGGGAGTCAATAGACTAAAGGAGTATTATTTGTCGCTAGATAAGCCTATTAGTCAAAATTTATAGTGATTTTTTCCCTATCCGAATCAATACGTGCATCAAGATACAACCGTAGAGTTTGTATATGAAAGAAAACTTTTAGATCATAAGCTTCTTTGGAAAGCCATAACAAAAGACGGGCAGAAAATTATTGTTAAATTCGCGTAGCAGTATAATCAGAGGGCACACGAACTGTGTAGCGAAATTGGAAAAGTGCCAAAACTTTTTTACATTAACAAAGAGGTGGTGGATGGTTTTTACATGGTAGTGATGGATTATATTGAGGCCATGCCACTTTATTATTGCGACTCGCTTAGTCATGATGAATATAAAACGATTTTAGAGTATGTTGAAGAAGCTATTGACAAATTGCATGATGAAAATATTGTGTATGCTGACCTTCGTGATTCCAATATTTTGGTAAACAAATCTCAAGATCAGTATCAAGGAATGTCATTCATGAACCATAAAAATATTAAATAGCCACCAGGGGCTGAAGATAGGAAGAAACTGGATCGGAAATACGACATTTATTGGTTAAAATCGTTGAAAACTAAATATTTGGGTATGGAGTCCGAATGATTAGTTAGCATGGTATTTGATGATAAAGTAGGAAAAATCAATCGTGTATAACAAGCTATATGTGTATCTAATATAATTTGTTTT